ATCACAAAAAATTCATCCTTTTAAAGACACATATTTTTTAAATGTATACTATGCAAATAAGGTAAAATACTATTGATTAATCTATCAACCTATGAACCGTGGTAACATTGTGCTTAGTAGAATAATCTGCCTATATTAACGCTATTTATTGTTATACATAGTACATAAAAATATAATCAATAAATTAATAGCTTTACTTATAAAATATAGAAGTTAATGACATCTTGAAACACCCTATCATGAGATCATCATCCTATTGAACTATCCATTTCTAGAAACACTATCCACCTACAGAACTTTAGTAACGCAACCCGCCTATAGAAACACCATCCGCCTTTGTAAACGTACTGATAATGCAAAACTGTAATTGTGAAAAAACTTTTCAGTACTGATAATTGTAAACACAATACTATGCAAATTAGATAAATTATCATTTTTAAGACTTTAATTGCAACTATAAAGTTGATGTCACGTTGATCTACATCACCCTCTAGTGGTTACTCGCGAACTATCTGTGCACTTGTCATACTAAGACATTCTCTGATGCCACTTCGTGGGACTACGACTTTAAGACACTCGCACCATCTGGTTCCACTGCGAGGAACTATGATGTACCCCATCCCTAAGACAGCAGTGCCCTCTGGTGCAACTTCGTGGACGAAATCGTTTCTGGTGCGTGACACTATCACGTGTCTAGTGTGCTGTGGTAACTACTAACGTACTCAACTGTCTATATAAGACTAATTGTGTAAAGTTGGGAGTCCTTTGATATATATATATATATATATATATATATGTGTGTGTGAGTGTGTGTGTGTGTTGTCATAGGTTGGTTATTTGCATTTTTGTTTTGTATTTAGTGATATGAAATTAATGCATTATATTAATTATGACTTTGTTTATTTAGTGAAATATATGATCCGTTGAGTCAGTTCACTATGTTGCACGATGTCAATTCCAGATCTTATGGGCTAGATTATGCAAACAAAGTAATACAGAGAGATGTATAACAAAGATAAAAGCTTTAGGAGTATCAGAATAATTCTTTGACTGATTTTCTTTTGTGTCTTCTTTCGAAATTCACCCGTTCTCAAGTTACCTTCTCGTTTCCAAAGATTACGAAACTTGACTAATTACTACTATGATCACTGAAAGACTAGCATAAACATGTTTCTAGTGCCATGATCTGGATCTGAGGTGACCTCTTTGTGAATTCAAGTTTTTATAATTCCTTTTCTGTTTTTCTCTTATAAATCTTTAAGCCTACTGTATCCAGCAGTCACAAGGACTTAACTAAATTGCTTGTCTGGAACCTAAGCCTACCTTCTTACAGAGGAAAATGATATCTTTGAGAATATACATTTAGCTTTTTTTTTTCTCGATCGATTGCTTAGATCCGATGTACGTATTCTAGTTTTTCCAAAATAATAACCATATGATACAAGAGACAGTGAATCGAACATCAAGAAAAATGCAGCTTAATAAATCATGTGACTAGATCACACATAAATAAATTATTGGACTTACACCAAGGATTCCAATGACTGGTGTTACTTGAGCTTATTATGATCCTAACTAGCAGTCTATACCCTGGAGAGGTGCTGGGATTGGATAAAGAAGTAGTTCTAAACTTTTTGACAGTTTTTTTTATCAATCCAGAGACAGCTTGTAAACTTCTTGTCTGGAAAAACGAAATGTTTTTTCCACAGTCTGTTAAGTTATCTATTAATTAAATGAAAGTTTCTCTCTGCATAAGCTTCTTCATACAGATCAATGTTATTGTTGAAATGTATAAACATTCACACAAGCTGATCATGAGTTACGAAATGTGATTTTTTTCTTTAGTTCAGAATTTCGCAGCTATACCTAGGTTTACAGGTATGCTTAAGATAAACTACAGTAATTACAGTAACTAATTAATTAATTAACTAATTACAGTACTGTGCAAAAATGTTAGGACAAGAGAATATGTTGTCATTCTTTCCATTTTCTGGGGCTAGTTCTTCCATGCCATTACAGAATGTAAATGTCAACACTATGGTAATACTTCACTGATCCCTGTTGACAAATGAATGAGCCAGGGTGAGAATACTTGTCATTCTTTAGAATTCCCATATACTTTTACCAAGGGCATGTCATAAGGGTTCTGCTTGAATGAACGTACTGGTCAAACTTAGGGTCTTAAATAACTGTTATAGTACCCATACAGTGTCTTAAGTATATAGTAAGAAGCTAGCATATGATATCGGTATATGTTAGAAGAAATCAATTTAATAGCACTCCCCAAATATACCTTGATAAAAACAGAGTTGAAAACTATATATTAAGTTCTGTTGTTATGCCACAGCCCAAAAAGCGTAGAGAATTGTCAAGTAGAGCAGGGAGTTCGCATAAAGCTTTACGTGATGCTGATTGGACTCTCCGACAAATTGCTGCAGACTTGAAATGCTCCCCAAACACTAGATCGTGAGACAGAGACAGGTAAAATTGAAAATAGGAAAGGAAGATGCAGAACACCTAAGCCCAATGACACTGATGTTAAATATCTTCGTTTATGGAGTCTTCGGGACAGAAGGAAAATTGTCACTGATCTTAATCATGTTTGTTTGTAATTAAGCACAAAGCTACACAATGGGCTATTTATGCTCTGCCCACCACGGGTATCTAAACCCGTATTCTAGCCTTGTAAGTCCGCAGACATACCGCTGTCCCACTTGGGCGGGGATCGTAATCATGAAATAAACGACCATGTACCAAATGACAGAAAAGTGTCCAAATCTACAGTATCAAGAAGACTCAACTAGAATGGAATATTTGGGCGTGTAGCAGTTTAAAAAACCCAAAAAACTTTACTTCGATCTCCAATTGTTGTCAATAGACTGAAATGTGCTAAAAATACAAAAACTAAATTGTTGATGGTTGGAAAAAGGTGTTATGGACGGATGAGTCCAAGTTTGAAATATTTGGTTCAAAGCGTAGGTTGTACATTCGGCGGAAGAAAGGTGAAAGATACTTACCTCAATGCATAGCACCTACAATGAAGCATGGAGTAGATAGTGTGATGGTTTTAGGGTGTTTTTCTGCTGAGGCGACAGGAGATATTTGCAAAATAGATGGAATAATAGACCAGTGCAAGTACCATCAGATACTGATCCGTCATGGTATACCCAGTGGTTTGTGTATTATTGGTAAAGGATTATACTACCAAGAAGATAATGACTCCAAACACTGATCCAATCCATGCAGAAATTACTTAGCTAAGAAAGAAGCTGCTGGAGTCATTCAAATGATGCAATGGCCCCTTCAGAGCCCCGATCTCAACCCAGTTAAGCAGATCTGGGATTTGATAGATCAAAAACTTGACAAATCAAAAGTTACTTTCAAAGAAATTTTATGGGAGTGTATTAGAGACATTTGGAGTAAAATCCCAAAGCACACTTTGATTAAATATATTGCAACAGTGCCTGAAAGACTGTCTGCAGTTATTAAAGCAAAAGGGGGGACACATATTAACTCTTTGCTGAACTCAAGCACTTCCACTGAGTTTCTGCTGTACTAAATATGAAGATTAATAAAATTTTGATGTTTCTTCTGTGATTTACCTTCCATTGTTCTTTGAAAATCGTCTGAAATCTAATTTTTGACTTTGTCCTAACAGTTTTGCAAACTACTGTAAAAAATCACTTTGTCGATGCTTTTTTACAAACGTGTTTAAATCCCCCAAACGTTTAATATATATAATATACTAATTATGATATTTTAAACACATTTCTAAGCCTAAACTACAAGGTGTTCGAAAAATCTGGAACCATAGGCACTTCAACGAATTTTACAGAACGTGTTCCACCTGCTGTCCTTGTAATTCGGAACAAGTCTGTAGACAGTATTTCCATTCTCTTTGAACACTGCGAAGCTTATTCGTGTCATTCTCAACGGACTACACTGCTAGTTTTCCTAAATGTAGTTAGTAATTTCTCAACAGCACTGTGAGTTATGGTTATTTTCTCTCTGGATGGCGTGCATTAAGTTCGGCAGCAACCTTCCACTGGTACCAACCTTCTCTACCACACAGCATGATTAACTCGATCTTCTCACGCTTTGACAGCGCCATAATCAGCCACGTATCTAAAATTTAGAAAAGCTGAAATCACCTATGGTTCCAGACTTTTCAGACACCCTGTATAGTGTTCATTTTTTAACGTAATTTTTGGAGTATGATAAGAAGTCTCATGGTGAGGAAGAAAATGGAGTCACGATACACAACAGTGTATTAGTTAAGATAACATTGACTTTAAAGTACAATATTAGTTGAAGTAGAAGTATTTCGTCAACTTGTAAATAGTTTCATGTTATGTCTGAAGAGTTAATACATGATATAATTAATAATCAATCTTCAGTTGTAATTTCATGTGAGTATATGTGATGTCGTACGTTGACGAGTAGAAATGTCACGTGCTCATATACATCATCCTTAAGCTTATAATTGTACATGCTGCTTTAATATACAGTTCGATTGGTTTCACTTCTTAGTCGAAAAAACAAAAGTAGCATTGTAAAAAAGAAACCAAAACCTAAATCTTCCCTGTTTATTTATTTCGGTGTCCATATTAATTTCATCTAATGTCAGGAGACTTATAATGTATCTTATACCACACCTTCTGATGAGTTAGATAGAGTTGCCGACACAATAAATGTTGTAAGCTATAATTATATTACAAATATGCATATATTAAAATGGGAATTCTTAACGTAATCTGTTCAGAGTTATATAAATAGATAAAATATTTTGATCAGTTTTTTTCAGCATAAAGCTACACAATAGGCTATCTGCGCTCTGTCCACCGCAGGGAATCGAACCCCGAATTTTAGCATTGTAAGTCCGGAGATTTACAGCTGTCCCACCAGTAGACACTTTTAAATAAAAGAGTTAAGACGCCAAAATAATTAATCAGGATTTTGTAAAATTAGAATTTTCTTATAACTGGCCTTCTTTCTTGTAGTTTTCTTGTACCATCAACAACGTTCTGATGTTTGTGGATTTTCTGGTTGTTGTTGGTATTGTTCTGGTGGGATTATTTAACATGGACTCCAAGAATTGGACTGCAGGAACTGGTTTCTTCCCATTTGGTGTAAGTGGGGTGAGTAAAAATTATTGTTCTGTTGATGATACTGTCATTATTTGATTATCTTTTTTTTGTTTTAATATTAAAAGCCGAACTTGATTATAACATATATCCACGAGTTAATCACTGACTGATATCTTAGAGTTATTTGAAAACTATAACATCAAACTTGAACTTTAAGTTATATGTTTACAAACACAGTTTTCCGTATATCTACATCTGGATATTTTAAACCAATCTTCGAAGAACAGCTTACTTATCTATTTCTTTAGTGAAAAACTAACGGTGGAAGATAACGAATGGGAGCATACTTAGTGATGTACTTGTCTAACTTCTTGAAAACTGAAGATAATCTAGACTCTAGATTCTAGAGTCTGTACTTGAAATAACATGAATAAAGTTTGTTTGTTTGTTTTTTCATGGTGAAAGTTTTAGAAACCTGGAAATTTTTATTCCATTGAAGTGTTTTGGATAAGTGATAGAAATAATTAAACTGAACATATATCACTGAGTTATATTTCAGTGAAACTGAACATATATCGCAGAGTCCTCTTTCGGTGAAATTTAAAATATATCACATAAGTCATCTTTCAGTGAAACTGAACATATATCATAGTTATCCTTCAGTAAAAACTAATATATATCATGGAGTATTTTTCAGTAGAATATTTTCTAATTGAATCATTTCGAGTATAATTAATTAATACTTACGAGAGATATCCTAATGCCCCCCCCCCCCACCACACACACACTGACACAGCGGTATGTCTACGGACTTACAACGCTAGAAACAACTTTGTGCTTAAATGCAAACAAACAAGCGAAAGATATCTTAATTTCTTTAAAGGAATAACTTCAAGAATTAATGTTTGCTCTAAATATACAGAAAATATCATGCTAAAATATTGTGAGAATTTGTTATTGTTTATTCGTATTTTGTGTAACAATACTTGAAAGTATAAAAGTTAGCAATATCATAGCCTGTTAACAAGGCAGTTTTGTGAAAATACAGAAACAGAAAGTTAGAGACGTCATGTCACATAATGTGTTTTATTCAGAAACTAGGTCGAATAAAATATACTCAGAGAATCGAAATAGTATTGAAATTTGTATATACAGAAGGATATATCTGTGAAAATGATGTTTTTGTAACTGCTTTTCTTGGATTTTCTAGAGTTGTTTCAGGTTCTCTTACAGAGAGACACAATTTAAGCTTTATAAGTTATTTATTACTATTACAGATTGTTCCCATCACTTAATACCTGATATAATTAATCTTTAGTAGTAATTTCATGTGGGTTTAACTTTTGCACTTTGTTTAATATCTTAATGAAGTAACACAATCTACATATTTTCAAGTAGCATTTATAAATATGTTTTCTTACCTGCAATTATTAACGAATATTTGTCCAAAACATTAGATGAGCAAAAAAAATCTAAGCTTGCTAATTTTTATTATTATCTGAATTGATAATTATATTACAGTTTTATGATATAACAGTTATATTTTTATTTATTTTTCTCTGCAAAATAGTTCTTAATCAACTTTTAATGAAGCTTACCGATTCACCTTCACTTATCCTTTCTTATTACTTTAATTCCTAGCAAAACTAGTTATTTTAGTATTTGAAATAAAATAAATTAATTATTTTTATTAAGAACTATCATCTATGTGTCTCCTTAAAGTTTGTAGTTAAGCCTAACTTCCTCCATCAAGATTAGCCTAATTTCCTCCATCAAGGTTAATTTTTAAATTTTGAATATACCTTTTTTAAGAATTGTAAAACATTATAACAATCCAACTGCAATGTTCGTCAAGACATCACTTGAAAAAAAGGAGATAAATTACTTTCAGTGTATTAAAAATCATAAAGTTCAAAGTGGACCTAGTTTTAAGAAAATAAATGAAGGAAACATCTAACAATTTTATTTTCTGCGCATTCTTGAAAGATATCGGAACATTGTAGTGGGTTTTTGTGGGTCCATGAATAGTGTTTAAAGAAACATATAACAAAAAATTCTAGATTGACTTGAATGAGAATTATAATTAAATGTTTAAATATTTAATTATACGTTTATTTAGGTAGTTAATAAAGCTACATATTACGTTTTTTCTTCTAGGTCCTTACGGGTGCCAGTTTGTGTTCCTTTGCTTTTATTGGCTTCGATATTATAGCGACATCTACCAGAGAAATGGAAAACTGTTCTACAGTTCTTCCTGGAGCTGTTAATATCACTTTTATTATTGGTCTTGTAACATCTTTCATTATAGCGTCTGTCATTACTTTGGTGATTCCATCATCTCTTCTTGAAAAAAGAGGTTATCTTCTCCAAGCTTTCGACATCCGAAAAATCCGTGGAATCAATGTCTTCGTTATCATTGGAGCCAACTGTGGTTTAATGTCATCTTTATGGGCCTGTTTATTCGCTTTGTCTCGTATTCTGCATAATTTGGCAAATGATGGTTTCCTCTTATCCTTCCTAAAGCAAAACAATGACATAACTGGTACGAATTGGTGTGCAAGTCTGACGTCGTTCCTTCTATCTGCATTTATCGCTTTCTTCTGTGACTCTACAAGTTTATTAAAGATGGTGGGCATGGGAACTCTGGTGTCCTTTTGTTCTGTTGCAGCTTCTGTGCTCTGTCTTCGCTATGGAGTTGCCGAGCGGCTTCCTTTGGAACAAAGAGAGTTATCTCAAGAGTCTACATTAACTCTGTCTCTAGGAGGAGTCATTGAGCAATATTTGAATCAGGTGAATTCTAGCACTCAAACTTCGTCGTCTTATTTTAGCTCTTTCACAGAAGATTTACCTGTATCGTCTTATGCTTTAGAAAATTGGAATAGAGAATCTTCAGCAAACAAGGTTGTTGTTCCATCTGGTGAACAAATTGGGGAGGCATCCGTGATGTTGAGTGGAATATCAAGAGAGTATGGAGCTCTCTCACCAAAGACAACATCCATAGAGTTCGTGAACGACAGTTATATCACCTCTGTATCCGACCTCACATCCTTGAGTTACCAGAAGCCAGAACCAACACAAAAATCTACCGCATATTTTTTTATCCTGTTATCAACTACTTTTATAATCATGACTATCTTGGGGCTATTAACGATGCATACATTTAGTCTAGCACATGGAAACTGGTGGTGGCTGAACGTGGTGATCAGTGTGATTTTCGTGGGAATATTAATGTGTGGATGGTTGCTGCTCAGACAACCACATCATTGTACCCGCTGGAAAAATGACGTACCTTGTGTTCCTGTTCTCCCTGTCTGCGCTATCTGGATCTTTGTCCAACTGATAACCTGTCTTCCCTATATAGCGTGGGCGACCTTTTCTGTGTGGACTTTGATAGGTAAAGAGTTATTGGCTATTACATTACTATGTTATACGATAAAATCTAAAGATTTAAACATTATTAAGGTACTAGCTGGAGTACCTGTCTCCTGAACGGAAGTTATGTAAATTCATGATTTATGAAAGGTTAATTGAGGACATGAAAAGTTGCTTCCCTTATATGTAATTGTAAAAAAACGCCCATAAAAACTGCAAAACACAAAATGTGAAACCGTAAATTTGCATGTATCTTCGCATAGACCAAATAAATATTCATGCCAAATTTGGTAAAAATCCATCAACAGGGGTGGGGGAGTAGTGGTAAGAAATGCGGAAACGTTCATAAAAACCGCTAAACGCAAGATGCAAAACTCAAAATTGTACGTATCTCCCCACACCAAATTTGGTGAAAGTTCATTCACAGGGGGCGAAGTAGTGGTAAAAAACGCAAAAAAAACCCCATAAAAACCGCAAAATGCAGAATATACAACTGTAAATTTGTAAGTACCTAATGAACATCCATACAAATTTTGCTGAAGATCCATCCACACCCTGCGAAGTAGTTACATAGACATACAACAGGCAGTACTGTTATATTTATATAGATATATGAACACTCAAACCAACATACATCATAAATTTTCATTATAACTCTAATCGCTGAGCCAATGATCAGTTAATTAACATAAAGCAAATTTTACGAGGTCGTTTAAAAATATATGTGTATATTTATAGGAAATGCCTAGTTAGTGGATCTATATTTATATTTGGAAAAAAGTGGTCACATGTCTGTACTTCTGTAAATAGCTGTTAACCATCTCCTTATTTGTGAGCACTTACCATTTATTAACCTATTCTTTATCCGAGAACAGTGGTCAGTGAATATATTTGTATATTTATGACAAATATTTAGTTAGTTGACTTTTCTCTTTGAATTTTAACAGTGTAAAATATTTGTGTTTTGTTGTGATTGTTGTTAAGTATGAAGTTACACAATGAGCTATCTGTGCTTTGCCCACCACGGTTATCAAAATCCAATTTATAGCGTCATAAGCCCTATGGACTTACCGTTGAGTCCATAGGGGTAGTGTTAAGAAAGAAATATATTTGCACAATTGTAATCAGTAATTGTATATTGGATAAAACTGAACACCCTTAATTACGTAATGACCAGATATCTGGAATGTGTACACGTGGGTGAGGATATTCATTGTTTAGTGGTGAATAAGGGTTGAAAATGGTTCACGAATACTGCATGTGCATACTGATCAGTCGTACCTGATGATGACAAAACCTTGTCGAAACGTTGTACATTTGCTGTTAAACTTATATTAAAGTTTTTCTTCATTACCCATTCAAGCCATCTCCATGCAATATTAGTCTCAAAGTGGGTTCCTCGTCATCGAATTAGTATGTACATCCTTATATCTCGATTAAAATGTCTATGTAGTGGATATTATGTGAAGAGTGGTTATTGAAATAATACTTACACATGTGACAAGTGACCATTTAGTCAGTATAGTTGTGTACATATACAAGTTACTAAATGTGCTTATTAAACGGTCTGCAAAATTATGGACAGTAGATACCCGAATAAGTTAATAGTGTCCAGTCATTGGTCAGCTACTGAACTTGTAAGTTAGAAGTGTGAATTTATCCAATAGCTGTTAGTCTAGTGATAGAGGACTACGAATTGTCAATTATTTTCTATGAATATGATAATTCATGATAATTCACAGTTAATACAAATTATATAAAAAAAGAAGTTAGCATTCTTCATGAATTTCATTATTTACCTAATCACAAATGCTGTTCAGCAGAGTGTAACTTTAAAATTTCAAAACAGTCTAGCTCCAGATTTTGAAGAGTCTAGCTCTGATTTCTACCTCTATTGTTACAAAAATCTTCCTTTCTCTAACTTCATTAGGTATTCTTATCTACGTGAGTTACGGTGTCTGGCACACAACTGAAAGGAACGTTGATGCACGTGAGGTGGCGCAATTACACGTGATGAATGAAGAAGTAGCAAATCCGGAAAGAAATTGAGACGAGATGAGTAGTCTTAAATAAAAGGGTCAAAAGTCAGTTCTCAAAGTTACCAACCAAATGAACTGTTGACTAATAGGTAAAATTTTAAAGTCATCCAAGTATAATTATTTTTAACATAGAATAAATGTTTAAAAATAATACTTTCTATTTGTTAAACAGTTATACTTGCCTGAGGGAGATGTTCAATATTGGATAGGTTAACATAACACAAAATTCATAATAACGTGTAGGAGTGGTAGTCCAAGAAAAGGGGTCAAGATCACTAAAGTCACTGAAAGTTTTGATTAAGTCATCAAGGTCACGTTAACGGTAAAACTAGTGATTATTTCCATGATATTATTGACATGATAAAGGTTAATGACTGAGCATCACGTGCGTTGGAAGCGTACGTGGTTGTATGTCGTAGTTCAATTGAATCTCACATGGTTGTGTGTCACAGATGAGGAAAATTATGATTGGTCAATACGAGAAATTAGATGAGGGAAGCAACGGAACCGTGGACTTGGAAAACTAAGTTTTTCTGATAAAACAATTAGTAAATAATAATTAACAATAATAATCTTACACAAGTCGCATTATAATGGGCATGTGGTCCATATGAATGTGCATTAACATATTTTATTAGCATTTAAAGTACATAATCATTAGCTTTAAAAATGACGTGTACAACTTATTTTGTGTTACGTACGTTGTTAACAATGACATGTCTGAACAGCTTCGTGTCATGTACATTGATACTGATGTGTTGACGATGAAATGTTTAAACAATTTACGTTGTTATGTACGTTGATACTGATGTGTAAAAGGGTTTGAAGAAGTTATGAGTTTATCTGGTGTATGGATCGTTTCCATTATGTACAAACTATAACACCCTGTCAGTAGCTAGACCCTATATTAACACACTCCTTAAATATCACGTAGCATAGATCAAATTTTGAAATGATATTGTTTCAAGTTAAAGTTTTCAAGAATGTTCATCTCAGAGTATGTACATCATATTGAGATAAAGTTTGGATTACCTAAATATTTCATAACAACTGACACAAACAAAGATTAAGCGTCATACGTTCATAAAAACGTGTATTCATTTTGAATGTACATAAACATGATTTTTTAAAACTATTTCTTTATTGTAAACCATGCTTAAATCTTACTTTTTTTAAAATAAACAAAAGTTTACTGTCATACGAAACGTCACTTGCACCTATTTGAAACGATGTGAACTCACAAAAGTAAATCCCTTGCTATATGTACATACACATTTATATTCTATTCCACTACGTTATGAGCCTACTTCAATACCTCAAAAACTACTGTCTTTATAACAATAAACTGTCTATAGAAGAGTAAATAACTTTATGTCTTTGTTAACTTAAATAAAGTACCCTGTAACAGAGTAAACAAAACAATTTTCACTTCTGTTAGAGTAACATAATGTTTTCTAAATAACTTTATGTCTTTGTTAACCTAAATAAAGTACCCTGTAACAGAGTAAACAAAACAATTTTCACTTCTGTTAGAGTAACATAATGTTTTCTAAATAACTTTATGTCTGTGTTAACCTAAATAAAGTACCCTCTAACAGAGTAAACAAAACAATATTCACATCTGTTAGAGTAACATAGTGTTTTCTAAATAACTTTATGTCTTTGTTAACCTAAATAAAGTGCCCGTAACAGAGTAAACAAAACAATATTCACATCTGTTAGAGTAACATAGTGTTTTCTAAATAACTTTGTCTTTGTTAACCAAAATAAAGTGCCCGTAACAGAGTAAACAAAACAATCTTCACATCTGTTAGAGTAACATAGTGTTTACTAAATAGCTTTATGTCTGTGTTAACCTAAATAAAGTACCCTGTAACAGAGTAAACAAAACAATCTTCACGTCTGTTAGAGTAACGTAATGTTGTCTAAAAGAATAAATAAAATATTTATGCTATTTTTAATAACAAAAGTATTCTATGAAACAATAGTCTTCCTGTTAGTGTAAGCAAAATGTTCTTTAACAGAGTAAATAAAACACTGTCCAGTTTTAAATTAAAGGAGCACTAAGTATTCTCTAGAACAATAAATAAACTATTTATGTTGTTTTTAATATCAAAAGTATTCTGTGAAACAATAGTCTTCCTGTTAGTGTAAGCAAAATGTTCTTTAACAGAGTGAATAAAACAGTGTCCAGTTTTAAATTATAGGAGCCCAAAGTATTCTCTAGAACAATAAATAAACTATTTATGTTATTTTTAATATATAAAAGTGTTCTATAATACAATAATCTTCCTGTTAACGTGAACAAATTGTTCTCCAATATAACAAATAAGATATGGTATCTTCTTTGTTAATCCAATAAAGTGTTCTGCAACAGGATAAGTAATACAATGTAAGTGTTCTGTAACAGGGTAAGTGATATAATGCACATCTTTCTGTAAAAGCAAGTTTGTCCTCTCTTAAATAAATTATAACAAAATTACCTTTACTTTTTATTTCTAATTTATGCACAGGGACACGCATATAACCGAATTCATTATTCGTTGACGATGGTGATAGAGCCTTTTTTGTTTGATTTGTTATCTAGCCCTGTTTGGGTGAATTATTATATCGATATTT